CAACTATGAGGTGTGAAGCTCAGCGAATGGGAATGGCTCATCCAATTGTGATTTGAGGAATTTGTGGCAGGCATAGGATGGACCCAGACTTTTCTTTCTCCTGATATTGTCACTGCAAACTGTAGTTCTACTACAGCTTTCAACAGCCATAATATTCTAGGATGAGATTCATATTTCTAATCCTAACAATTATAATCTATAATTACAACAGGACTTCTTATTCAGATCAATGAAGATATGGCAAGCAAATCTAATAATTAATAATAAAAGCTATAGCTCCTATTTATTGAGCCTCTGTTCTAGGCACAAAACATTGTTTTGGAATGGGAAGGTACTGAATCGCCACAGTAGTTGAGGTATAGGCAATTATCTCATTTGACAGATCTAGAAACTGCATTTGGAAGCAGATAAGCACTTGCTAAAAACTATGCAGCCAGTGAGTGATTGTAGTGTAGTCGTTTCTGATGAGATAAAACCCCGTCTCGCTCTTAAAAACTTAGGGTGAAACGTTTCATCCTCCTGGGAATTTCATTAAGTTCAGGAGGGAAACAATTTAATAGCTTCAGGAAGTCCCTGAAACTGGCCAGATTTACTCGGTTCCTCCTTTGCCAAGTTTCTATAATCAGCCTTGACTGCTGAGAGACCTTCTCAGACAAACCAGGCAGCCTGGAAGTGACTCTTGGATCTAATTGTAAGTCCTGCAGTGTGCCTCAGAATTCTTTGACAAGCCATGCCAGGGTGGTCTTTTGGCAGTAGAGATATTTCTGAGCTACTTCTGCTCCTATAAGTAAACCCAATAAACTCACTAACTCACCAAGCTGGACTCTGCCTTACTTTGGTCTTGAAGGACTTGATGCTTATTCAAGTGTTTCCAGAAAAAATGAGACACAACAGGCAGAAAAGGGATTCAAATAGAGATCAAAGACACGTGACGCTCTTTTTTTGTTTTTCTTTGTTTCTTTCTTCCTTCCTTCTTTCCATCCTCCCTCCCTCGCTTCCTTTTTTCTTCTTCCTTCCTCCCTCTCTTTCTCTCCCTCTCTCTCTCTCCCACTCCTCTCTTTATTTCTTTAAAATTGACTCATAATGGTTTTCTCATTTAATATTTCTCTGTGTGCCCTCTCTGCTTGGGGAAGGCATATCTGAAAGCTAAGTCAGTTTGAGGAAATCTAGCCCTTGCTTCAATTTTGCCTCACTTTTAAGGCCATTTACCAAAGGGTCTCTCTAGAGCAAGAAGTTTCTGGAAGATCTGGGGAGCCTGGGGCTTCTGACTGGAAATAAAGAATAGCAATGCAGGCCCTGGCTATCTTCAGAGTCTGAGGAGAGACACATCAAAGGGACCTGGTCCCTTTGATGAAGAGAAGGCAGGAAATTATCAGTCCTGCTCCAAGGAGAGACAGAGACTAGAAGAGGTTCATTTGGGCTTCCACGGGGGTCTGGAGTAGAAGGCACAGGCAGCCTTGAACTCGAGTTTCCTCTCTTGAAAAGCAAGGTAAAAGCAAGGAAGATTAGCAGCAGAACTCGGTTACTGCTCTCAGAACTTGGTGACGTCCTTTTCTTTTTTCTTCTTATTCTTTTCCTTTTGCAATCTCAACTGAAATCACACATTACTCCACCCAAGTGCTTAATATGGATTTCTATGACAGATCCTAACATAGTCACACAAAAAAAGAGAAAAGTTCCCCTCTGCAATGCAAACTCTGAGCTGTGTAGGTGTGCTTAACAGACAAGGAGATAGAATGAGCTGGAGTGCCTGTGTCTAGGTCCTTGGAATTAATCACTTAGGAGACTTAAGGTGTGTGTAGGGGGGAAACTAGCTTGCTTTAACATTTGTAAGACTCTCCAATGCAGCTGCCAAGGCAGAACTTGCCAAATAGACCTATGACGGTCTTCCATAAGAATCAAACTTGCAAAACCAGTTTTTCACTTGATTTCCTCTCTTGCCTTGCAAGAAGTCTACTCTAAGGGTTTAGTTGCAGGTCGCAGAATGCCCTCGAAATCTTCCTGAAAGAAAGACCTACTGGCTTTTTATCATCATTGGAGGTGTTTTTAGCAGATTTGCACAGCCTTCACTTGCTATTTCATTTACAGCACTTAAACAAACCGCCTTCATCCTCACTCCACAGAAGCAGACTCCGGTTTGGAACCTCACACTCGGGTAACCACTGATCTGTTGTCTGTAAACGTGCCTTTTTTGAGACATTGCATATCGGTGGAATCATGCGGTTTGTGGTATTGTTTTTGGCTTTTGCCATATTTTTAGAGTTCCTTCGTGACGCAGCAAGCATCGTTTTCCCTTTCCTCTCCCCTGCTGAATAATATTCCGTTGAAAGGATCCATAATGTGTTTGACTCGCTTCCCCATGGCCCTCTGCTTTGTTTCCCATGTGCAGGCCATTTGTAGCTAAGGCTGCTGTGACCATTCATTCACATGTCGGGCTTGGTATGGTACGTTTCCTCTGATTTGGAGTAGAAAGAATCCTTGGCATAGAATTATGTAAAGAGGGTTCACTTCTACTATCCATTACACAACTTCATTTTAAAATCTCGATGATGCTGTATTCGTGAAGCAGCTAGTCTCAAAGAACAATTGCTGTCACTTGATTTCTGTGCAGAAAGCAGAGGGCAATTTTCAGCCAGCCTGAGATATACATACCTCCAACTCGACTTCCTGAGACTTTCCTTATTGGTGCCCGACTCATTAAAGGCTCTGAGTCTCTGTCTAGCAAGTGGTTACATTGGTGCCCGCTGTAGGTTTCCTTTGTTCCCTCTATGCCTATGTGGACAGGATGCAAAAATCCAGGCAAAGGTTTGGAGCCACTTCAGAGCCGTATTGAAGTAAATATTAGGGGCGAGTCGGGCACTTTTCGCTCCGCCCGCCCAGTAACATCACTCATACATGGGACTGATTAGAGAGCAGCCTCTATGTTCTTTTATCGTGGGGACTTCCGGTGGCGGTTTGGAACCTGCCCAAAGTTTGAGGGCGTAGTGCAGACCTCAGATGAAAAGACAGTGCCAAAGAGACAAGAAGAAAGCAAAACCTATCCTAATAGCCGCCGAAAGAACTTAGGTCCCTGAGCCAACAGGAGCAGGCAGAAGCTTGCTCGCTCCAGAGAAGCACCTGAAGGGCGCCTGAGCAGCAACCCCTATCAGCCCGGTGTTGTGGCAGCGGCGGTGGGAGGCCTGGCACTTTGGGCACGATCCTGATCGAGGGAAGCGGAGGAATCAGTGAAGTGGGAGCTGGAAGCTTAGCGCCCCCTTTCCTCGAAGGAAGAGTGGGCAGTTATAAGGCCACGTCCACACGGAGTGATAGATGCTTTCTTTCCCAGCAGGATGGTGACTGGGGTAGTGGGGTCACCGCATCCAGTGTCACCGGGACCCCGAGATGCTGGGGAAAACGCAAGCATAGGGCAGATGTTCCTGCAGTCTTGTCCGCCCCTTGGTTCCTGGTCACGTTTCCGGAGCCCAAGGGAAACCAATGAATCTGTGAGAGTTCTGGGTCCCCTGGGCTGGTGACCAAGAGCTGGGGTTCCTCTACCATCTACTCTCCCTAGATGCTCACATGTGCTCCTCCCCCTGCGCTTTGGATACTAAGCATTCTCTTCTTTCGTTGGTCTCTTTCCTTCTAACTTCTGGTCCCTGTTAATCCCCTCTCGGCGCTGCTGTTTCTGATGCGTTTTCCAGCGTTTTCCTCTTATGTCTTTATTTATTTTATTGTTCTTTTCCTGGGGTCACTACTGCCACGCCATCACGACCCTCCTTCTTTATAAGATTCCTTTTCAACCTCCACCCACTGGAAACTTCACCTCTGCTCTTTCCATCACCTTCCAGACTGGAAACTTGTCCTAACCCGAGATCCACATTGAGGCACCAATCCTTACATCACATTCACAGTGCGCGTCTCCACACAGCTCTAGATATGATGAGCGCCCCCGCCTAGTCCCTGGTGTTTTTTCGGAAGACGCATCCCTCCAGAATGGGCTGGAAATGGGTTGGGGTCTGTCTTGCTGTAGTGTGTCCTTATGGTAAAGGGATAAACAGGAGTTTGAGTTTGGGCGCCAGCAGGGTAGTTCTTTACATAGGCCCATCCGCTAGCCGAATGGCATTCTCTCTGGGGTTTTTCTTGCGGGGGGGGGGGGTTCTGCGGTGACCAGTGGGGGAGGCAACAAGTGAAACCAAGGGGTGGGGGGTGGGGTAGGGACATTGCTTGTACCTGGTTGGGCAGAAACCATGAAACACTCCCGGTAGGACTGACCCCTAGGAAGCTCTCCACGCATACACGCCTAGGCTTTCCATGTAGGATAGAATAAAATTGAGAGAGAGAGAGAGAAAAAAAAAACAACAAAAACAGAGATTGAGTTTTTACGAATGCTTCTTTGCAGTGTCTTCACTGCTCTCCCGGAAACCGACTTTGCAAAGGATAGGTGCTGGGTTCTGAAGGCACGGGAGAGGGTGGCTGGGCAGGAGCGGTTAACGTGGAGAGATTTTCAGAGGGCGGAGTGCTCACAGATAGAGAGGAGAATGCACTCCCTAAATCCCGATTGTCTCCCCTACTTGGGCAATGCCTTCCATCCAATCCACCCTCCAGTCGGCCGGTCGAGGCCCTAGCTAGCCCATCTGGAGCGGATTTCAGGAAAAGAGGAAAATGGGGGCTCTCAAGCCCTCTCCAGCTTCCCTCCGTCGCCCTTTCTGATTGGCTGTGTATCCCTGGAGCCCAACTTCAGTCGCTTCAGACTCTGTCTGAGCCCCCAGAGGAGACCAAGCACTGCGACCCGGGGACGGAGGAGCGGCCACCTATCCCGGGGTTTGGCATCTCGCGGGCCCCCGGAGGGAGGGGCCCGGACAGGGTCGGCCCCGTCGCCGGCTCCAGGCCCAATTCTCCACGTCTAGCAGTCTCGGTTCCTCTCCGCCCCCTCCCTCTCCTTCCCTCCCAACAGCGGCCTCCCTCCTCCCTCCCCCCCCAACCCGCCCGCCTGCCCGCCACCTCCCCCCGGTTTCTCATTCCTGCCACTAGCGCGCTCCGCGGCTCATTCCGCGGCCGCCGCCAGCTGAGGGGAGCGTCGCGGGCCGAGGAGCAGATGCCGCGGGGGCCGCTCACAGCCGCCGCCGACTTGTGAATGGGACTCGGACTGGGGCCCGGGCTGACACCACTGCGCTCACCCAGTGCCAGGGACCGCCGGCCGGGAGGTCGCGTTCGCCCGCAAGGGCCCCAGGTGAGGCGCTCTGCGAGTCTCTAGCCCGTGTCTAGATGGGGCTTCTCGGAGTAGGCAGAAAGAGGAAATAATCGCTTCTGGAAGAGACTGTCCACCGAAGTGGGGAGGCTGCTGGTTGATGGGATCACTAATGCAAAGAGGGAGGGCTTTGGGGGGGGTGTTAAAAGAATATTTGTTTTTAAAATCAGAAAAGAAAAAAGAGAAGGCAGCCAGCTGTGGACGCGGGCAGAGCAGGGGTTTGAGGCGCCAGATGTGTACTCCCCCGCTCTTTGATGTGTTCCCCCCTCCAGGAGGTGTTGCACCAAGGCTTTGGCATAGCGGATTTGCTCTGGGTTGGGGCAAGGGACTGCAGAACTGAGCTCTGGACACGCAGACTGCTCTGGTCATGTCTCTAGGGAAAGTCGACCCCTGTGCGGTGCCGCCCGCCAGCGCAGTGCCTGTTCCCCAGACTGGATCGCTCTCTGCAGGATTCCTAGAGGGGTCCTCCAGGACCTCCATAGAGAGCTACCCAGGACGCAGTCCTGGTAAAGAGAGCTCGGGGGGAAGCCCAGAAGAAAGCAAGCGGCCGGGGAGGGGAGAGGCAATTGGCCGCACTTTGATAGCGTGGGTCCGGGTCTTCCGACTGCGGCTCCGAGGCCGGCGGCTGCGGAGCGCATCAACCCTCGAGTCAGCCAGCGCCTCCTCGGGGGCTCCTCTCGCCCTCCTTAGCTCCTAGCGGTGTTGTGGGTGGTCTGTGGGCGGCTCAGACTCTAGCTGGGTTCCGGCTTGGGCTAGAGGAAGCTTTCCAGGGTCAATGTTAACTTTGAGAGTCAAACCTTCCCCCCAAAGCCTGCGCCTCCTCTCGGAGCGCTTCAAGCCTCCCTAGCTTCCGCACGCTCGCCTCCCTCCCTGAGCTTGGCCTCCGAGCCGCCTTGCAGGAAGGGCCAGGAGCGGCGGGAAGGGGGTGGCCGCGGGGGCATCCTTCCCTTTCGCTTCCACCTAGGCTCTCCTTGGCAGGGTCTTCTCAATCTGTGATGCAAAGAGTCCCTGAAGAAAATGGGACCCAGGAGGCCTCGGGTCCAGCTCCGTGTTCTCTTTCTTGCCAAAGCCGGGTTTTCGCCAGGGCTCCTCGCTCCTGCCATCCGCGGGCAAAAGGTTCGCTAGATGTTCAAAGAAGCCCTGTTGCTTTTGGTCATAAATGCAGCAGGAATTTCACAGACTATCGCACGCTATGAAGACATTGCATCTTCTAATTATTTAACGGTGCCATTTCTGCACTAAGAAGGGTCGTCCCTAAGGACTGGGAGTGGGTTGGTTAATGAAAGCCTGGAACTGCAGGAGGGTAGAGATTTGTCTAAAGTCTCCCCTTCGGTTTCTTCTCCAAGAAGTCTTTTACGATGGCTCCTAAATCTACTCCTATTTTCCTCCGATCATTCTTAGCTGTGTACTAGGAAGCGGTAAGTTTTCGGTGTAAGCTCAGAGAGCAGTGATAATTAATCTGGCTAGAGGATAAATCAATTTCCTTATCGCTAGGGCTTGCAGCGAGGGTTTTGCGGGGTATCTGGATTTTCCTGGAGACCCGCATACAGATGTTCTCAGGACCGAGGATCCCTTGGAGGCACATCAGCATATTAGCCAGGCTCAGCCCAGTGCCAGGGCCTTTAAGGCTAGCAGAGGAAAAAGAAGGGACTGACCTTGATTTCAATAATGTTGGAATTGTGTTTTCCTAAGAACAAGGAGACGGAAGTTCTCCCGAACCAAGACAGAGATGCTCAACCCTGGCTTCAGGCAGCCTGCTTCTCTTCTACTAGAACAAAGGAATAAAAGTTACAAAACAAAGGGACATAGCTGTGGCCAGTACCAGAGTGACTCTGAAGCCACAGGCATGTTAAGTTCCTTAAACAATCTCTAGCTCTTAAGTTTTAGGGTTGGCCAGTCAGGCCCTGGAATTCGAACCCTCTGTGCAAAAACATCTATCCTGCCCAGTACAAAGGAATGCAAGCTGTTCTCACTGGAGACCAGGGACAGGCATCCAAAGACCAGGAAACTTTACTGTGTGAAGATGGGCTTTGCATGTTTTTTTTCAGAAGCGTTAAATCTTAACATGTTGAAGTATTTGGAGTCTATACTTTTATTTTTAGTGATAACCAGTTGTTACTGTCATTATTCATTATTTTAATTGTTAGTTCAAAGTCTGACTATACTTATGAGGCTATCATATGGAGGGATGGGGGGGAGAGAGAGAGAGAGAGAGAGAGAGAGAGAGAGAGAGAGAGAGAGAGAACATTCTCCAACCCTGCCAATAGGGGCTGAACAAATAAATGTTTAGGAAGGATGGAAATGGGATAATCTGGTGAGGCTGGACTTTCAGATTTGTTCAAGGTGGGTTTGTTGCACGCTAGGGAAACAAGAAGAAGAAAGACAGCAAGCTTTTGAGAAATAGTTCTTGTGGAAGCATTGGGCCATCTTGATAACACCCCAGAACTTCCATTATGTTCAGAACGCTTATCAGTGCACCGCAGCAAATTACTTGAAACTTAAATTCTATTTTCAATTAAGATGCAATCTTTTGTTAATTTGAAAAAAATTAAGTTACAGCTCTATTTTATTTTTATGGCACAGAACACATATTTCCCCATTTACTTTGGTGGCCTCAGAATGTTTATTTGTGGGAGGAGGGTGCAGAGTTGGAGAGCTGTGTCATCATTTGGGGGAATATGGGTCAATTTCATGCCCCTTTAATGCACAACCCTTCGTAATTCATGGCTTTTCTTTCACTTTGAATAGAATTACATGGCTGCTTTGTCAGGATTCAGATTTGGGGACCCTCATATGGGAATCACCATGACATTGACGTCATGGCTTGATTTACAATGCCAAAAGCTATGCTTCCACGAGCTTTGTGTGTCTTGAAACCTTATCTATGAATGCCAATAGCCGAGGAAAAGCACTCGGTTCACGTCAACTTTGATCTGTTGTATGTAAATCTGTTTTTTCTTCTGAATCATCCAAAGAAGGTCCACAAATCTGATTTTAATATGCATTCCCCAATCCTTTTGTGTTGGAAGTTCAAAAAGCATGCTAAGTTTATTTGAGCTTATTTTCAACATTGGCTTTTATATTTTTACTTTGATTAGAGGCCTACCTATTTATTGGCTAATAACAAAATGCACTCCATGTAGTCGAGAGAAGGCAGTGAGCATTTCTGTTTCACAACCAAGTCTGCAGAACTGCTACAAATTTCCAAGTATTCCCTTAGAAACACACATTCACTTTATGTGTTCCCTATTCACTGATTTAAATGCATTAAAATATGTTTGCAAAGAGTTTCTCTTTTGCCAAACCAGTCGTTATTCCATCAGAAGTTGGTTAATTTGTCAAGAACTTTCATTCTTTATTTAGAATTTGAAGTGGTCAACATTCCTATTCCAAAGTGGATGCTTCAGAAATACATCAAGTTACCTAGCTTTTCTAAGATTGGAAGTTAAATTTTAATGGAAAGGGGAATAAAATCCACAGGTTTGTAGGGGGAAAAGGAGGGGAAGAAAAGCAGGAGGAAGTTGGAAACGGTGTGGTTTCCCTGAATGAATTTACTGGTCCATCAGGGTTCCTGTAATGGTCATCTAAAGATTCCTCTCTGACCACGAAATGCTAAAGAAAACAGTGGAGGAGGATAATTAAACATCTTTCTGCTTTAATTTTACACCGACATTGTGAGCCTGGTACTTCTCTGGAAATGGACTCTTTTGCGGAAGATTACACTTTTGGCCACTAGAGGGCAATGGTGACCTTTTCCAACTTCTTGCTTCGGGCCTCTGCTTTTGAGGGGCACCATGAAAAGCAGTTTTGTTACTAGCCTTGTCTGCACCTCTGCAGAGAGGCCAGATTCCCCTTTCGGTGGCTCAGGCTCCTGAGTTGCGCAGGAGCATCTTCTGAGATGGAGGATCTGTCTCCGGCGGTCTCTCCTTCTCACTTTACACCTTGTTGGAAAGTTGGGAAATTCTGTGACTTGAGATTGTCTAAGTCAAACCCTAGTGGGGGCTGGGCAGAGGATAAATAAGGTTAGCTCTTAGTGAGGCAGCTATCTGCCAGACAGATGGGTGGAATGATAGGCGATAGATGATGTTTTTAGTTTAGTTAGTTTGTTTGTTTTATTTTGTGATAGGAGGGTAGTTTTGATTTGGGGAGAAACGAATTAGAGGTGGGAGGAGAGGGAAGGAGCGAAGAAGTATCCTGAGACCTCTGCAATCACATTTCCTTTCTTTCAAGAGGTCTGAACGCTATTTGCAAGGCATTTGCAATTTGCAAAAAAAAATTATAAAGAACTGCAGTTTAATTTTCAGTAAACACTTTGGAGTGTTGGGTTTTAAATAGCAGCAATACTTTACTCTTACCTTTAAATCATTTCTGATATTGCTGCATAAAACCTAACTTTAGCATGGAGTAAAATTTAAAACAAGTTTGGTCCTCAGTCACTGGAATTTGATCATTGAGGGTTTTTTTGGGTTTTTTTTGTCTTTCCTCAGTGATATGGAAATTGTGGTTTATGATTAAATGGCATATTTCAGACAGCATAAGTTTATGTTTGTTACTGTGTGATGGTGTCATTGAGAAAGTGCAGAAAAATTGAAAGAACAAATGCTATGCTATAATTAAGAGGAAAGCTCTATTAAAAGTAAGTACTGTCTTAAGTGGATACTTGTCTATTTTTTTTTTTTTTCAACTGAATAGAGCTGCTTCCCTGTGGCTCAGCAGTAGAGTTCTGTGCAGCACTGAGCTGGCCTGGAATCTGTGGACATTTGATGAAGCAGGAATCAATGCTAATGGATTATGGGAGGAACTATTAAGTCACTGAGTGGAAAGTAAGATGAAGTGTTTTGTAAACTGATGTTCACTCACTACCAGACAGTGGATTTAACTTTTTTTAAAAAGGCACGTTGACACTCGAAGGCCTTGTGAGCAATGCGCATGAGAACTGTAGACGAAACTTTCTTGTCATTTAGTTTGGTTGGAGGACATTT